CAAAAAGACAACTGCCCTGAGTCCCCTTGGGGAGATAAATGTGAGATATAAATAAAGATTTATATTATTATTATTATTATTTTACTGACACAAAAACACAGTGTGTCACAGCAAACGAGATCTATATGCTGGATTTTGTATCACAAAATCACAAGTTGAACACTTCCCAAGCATCTAGGACTGTTTGATGTATTTTCAAATGATGCTCACAGATCCAAGTAAGGTGTCCTTTTGCAGTCGACAGATCATGATTTTGTCAATGTTTATTGTTTCCAAATGCCGGCTGAGATCTTTTGGCACGGCACTCAGTGTGCCAATGACCACTGGGACCACCTCTGCTAGTTTTTGCCAGAGCCTTTAAAGTTTGATTTTGAGGTTCTGAAAATGGCTGAGTTTTTCCTGTTGTTTTTCCTCAATGCAACTGTCACCTGGTATGACGACATCAATAATCCAAACTTTTTTCTTTTCCACAATCATGATGTATTGTGTTCCAAAACTTTGTCAGTCTGGATTCAAAAGTATTTTTGCGTGCTCATTTTCCACTACCTTTGCAGGTTTATGATCCCACCAATTCTTTACTGTTGGCAGGTGGTACTTGTGACATAAGTTCCAGTGAATCATTTGGGCCACAGAGTTGTGCCTCTGTCTGTAGTCTGTCTGTGCGATTTTCTTGCAACAGCTGGGGATATGGTCCATGGTTTCATCAGCTTCCTTGCACAGTCTGTATTTTGGGTCATCCGTTGATTTTTCGATCCTGGCCTTAATGGCATTTGTTCTGATGGCTTGCTCCTGGGCTGCAAGAATCAGGCCTTCTGTCTCCTTTTTCAGTGTTCCATTCAGGACCCAGAACCAGGTCTTCTCCTTATCAACTTTTCCTTTAATTTTGTCAAGGGACTGCCCATGTAATGCTTTGTTGTGCCAAAACAAAATTTATTATTATTATTATTATTATTATTATTATTATTATTATTATTATTATTATATTATTATTATTATTATTATTATTATTATTATTATTATTTGATCACATTGATCAATTCATCTCATAGATTTCTGGAATGTGACCAGAAGGGAAGGCAGCAGAACTCTGACAGCAGCCTCATTCACGTCTTTTATTTTTGACAGGGACATCTCTCTTGCCAGATCTCTGATGCTAGAATTCCCACCCTTTCAACAGTTCTCTCTCCTTTGCTAAATATTTGCACATTTCACTTTGGCAAATGGGTTAAAATGGATTTCATTGTACGTTCACATACTTATACACAGACCAAAATAGCCCTCATTGGTTTTTAAAAAACTCTGTAATCACCGGGGGGACGGATCTATCTGCTGTCTTCATTGCTTTTGGTTTCAGATAATAACCTCCCCCCCTCAAAACACAGCAATAATAAATGTGTTGGATTGGGTGGATGGTCTTTGGCTGAGGCTTTGCTCACCAAAATCATAGAGGTAGGCAACCACTTTACCTGACAGTTGTGCGATGTCCGAGGTGACAGTCCCTTCATCATTTTTCCTGAGCTCCCTGATAGCACACTTTCCTAGAGGACAAAACTAAATGTTTTACCTAGCTTACTTTCTTCCCTCTTCATCTAACCTGTTGTTCTAAGCTGCAACTTTATTACCAGTATGTGAATTAAACCACTGTCCTAATTCATCTCTGAGGTGCAATGGGGAGAAGAGGCTACCTCATTCATTGCCTCAAGCAGTAAAACATCTTAGACTATTTCTTGAAAAAAGAGTTGCTGGATGAAAACCAGTAGTTGGAAAAATCACTTCTTTGGACTTACTGCTTCCAGAATCCTTAAGTTAACATAGCTGTTAGTCATGCCAGTTGGGATGCCCAGGGAATTATATCTGAGCAAAGTATAAATTGTTGGTTTTGACCTCTAAAGCCCTACATGGTTTGGGTCCAGGTCACCTACAGTATCTCAAATACAATCCGCCCTGAATACTTAGATCCTCTGGGGGGTGGTTACTCCAACCAGCCAGAACCCAACTGGTGACCATCATCCAGAGGACCTTTTCACTGGAAGTCCCAAGACTGGAATGACCTGCTGGAAGAGGTTTGGAAGCTAAGTTAGCTGTAAGAATTTAAGATACAATTGAGGACCCATCTCTTCCGGCAAGTCTATCCAGTCAGTTTTAAGCTGTGAATTTTAATCTGCATTTCATTAGTGGGATTTAACTTGTATTTTAACTCTGTGTATCTTGTTGTATGTCTCTTAAGAGTGTTTTATCTCTTATTTTGATGATGATGTATCCCACCTCTAGCCACACAGAGAGGTGGGTAAGACTTTTCTTTAGTATGACTATAGTCCATAAAAGTAAAATTTCCAAGCTGTAGTGAAACCTCCACTATGCGTTCTGTCCAGGGATAAATAAAACAGTTTTTGTAGCATCCGTCTTCCCCACAGTGAGAGTGATGTTGAGCATCACAGCTCATGGAAAAGGGAGTGGCTGTGAAGAAAGATACAGGAACTCTTCTGCAAGTAAATATGTGAGAGGTGCTTGGAAAAAGTCCTTTTTTTGGACTATAGTTCCCAGAATCTCCTGTCATCCTCAGAAGCCAAACTGGGTGTTTTTTTCCTAGAAAATGTATGTCCACAAAAATAACTTTTCTGAACTTTGGAAGAAGGGAGCCTGCTCAACTCAAAAGTAATAGCATCCCTGTGCAATGAATTATATCCCAGATGTTTCGGTGATAATGTAGTGGCAACTATACCAGTCCATAGAGCAGGCAATCTGCTACAGACTTAATTCTGAACCTGAAAGGAATTATCCAAGATGTGGCACCTATTTTGGAGATATGCCTCAACAATGTGGCTAGCTCCATTAAAATTCAGATTAGCACTCATAACACTGCTGAAATGGGAGGTGGTTATCCTACCACTAACAGTGTTGTACTCTGGAGGGAGTCCCTCAAGGTAAATCATGCATTAGCCACTGTGGATTGCTCCAATCAGGCAAGAGCAGTTCCATTGTTCTTTTCTGGTGAGCGATTGTGGAGTGTGCAGCACAAAACAGAGGCTCAATGATCACATCCGTCAGGCTCTAATAAGCACAGTGCTATGTAATGTCTGGGCTGGGAGCCAAGAGAGTCACGTTGACTCCTAGAAAAGTCAGTGAAACTGTAATACATCATTTCATACTTCTGTTACAAAGAACAATACTCATTGGAATGAACCAAGAATATGGCAACACCAAGAGTTCCTTTTAGCCACTTTTTGTCTGCTTTCTTGGATCATGCTCCTTGCCTTTTAGCTACAGCAGCCTTTCTTGACCAACTTGGTCATTTTTCAGATGTTTTGAACCACAGTCCTTATTGTCCCTGATCATTGGCTAGACTGGATAGAACAGTGGAGGGTGATCACACAAAACTACAAGGTGTGACATCAGGGAAGGCTGAGCCGGATTTTGTTATTTAAGGAAACTCATGTTGCTAGGGTTTTTCTTTTTTGAAAACTCCCCACATATTTTAGTATCATTTGTGCGAGTGATATACAGGCGGTTCCCAAGTTACGAACATTATAGGTTTTGTAGGTTTGTTCTTAAGGTTAATTTGTTTGTAAATCAGAAGGTAAAAGTAACTCCAGGTATATAGACAGTTAGATAGGATAGCATAGGGAAGGGTTAACACCTCTGTGGCATTTGTTTCGCTGTCTGTGCCCCTGTTTAGGAGATTTCACCCCACTTTCTGTCCCGGTGATAATTGAACTTTGAAAAATTTGGTTTGTTGTGGAAACAAGGATTGGTGATAATAAAACTTCAGTCAAAACATCTTTTCCCCATGATAATAACTCTTTTAGGAGTGAATTTTCTTTCCGAGGAGTAGATTTCTCTCACTTCCTGTTGTCTAACTGTGATTCATATTTCAAAAGTGTATATTGAAGAAAGAGTATAAAAGGGGGGAAACAGGGTTATATCCATTAGTGGCAGTCAGGATGTAACTTGCAATATATAAAATAAGGCAGAGTTCAATAAACGTCTTTCAAGAATGTCAAGGAAACATCTCAGAAACTAGAAATCCAAAAACAGAAATAATCCAAGGTAATTACAGGAATATGAGCACATGAAACTCTTCCAGGAAAAACTCTTTAAAGGTACATAGGGAAAGGCAGGAACATGAAATAAGAATATTGACATTTCAAGAACCATGGATTTGGAAACTTGATAACATGAACAGGAAACTGTTTCTCCTTTAGCAATGTTGTCTCCTCTGAAATGCTAAGAACCAAAACATCTATTTTAAGACCATCCAGGATCCCATGAAATCATGTCGAAGGCACCTGGATTTCAAAGTTTTATCTTGGAGGTGCTGGGAAGACCTAGTCTGTCTACTTTTCACACCCTGTGTTCTGAGATCTCCCTTGTGACCTCCTTGCGCTCCCCATCTTCCCAAGGTCTTTTCTCCAGGGAGGGAAACATCAGTTTCACTTTTCCCACTTGCTAAGGAATGATCTAAAGTATGCACAACATTGGCGTGGTGAGGCTGACCAGTCTGCAATTCTCCCTGAACGCTCTTTGATACTTCATTTTGAAACCCCTCATCCTCAGAATTTTCTGGCTCTTGCCAGACTTCAATGGGCATTAGCTCATCCTATGATGGGTCAGATTAAAAACTAGGATTATGCTTTAGGAAAAGCATTCTCTAATATCTTTGCTTCTCACAGTGGCTAGCAAGATATCCTAAACTTACTGTTGTGTGCCTTCAAGTCATTTCAGATCTACAGCAACTCTAAGGCAACCCTATTATGGGGTTTCCTGAGACTGAGAAAATGTGGTCATTCAATGGGTGTCATGTGTGTGCATGGATCTGAACCATGGTCCACATGGATACTTATAATTGGGGAATCAGTCTGACCAGATTATTCCTGTTGATGTTCAGATTGATCAGTGAAACAAATGTATCCAGGTATCAAATGTAATGGTGTTACAGAAATTAAACTGATCTGACTATCCATGCATAGCTACATAAAATATTTATTTGCTTTATTTCACAGATTGATTGATAGCTGAGCCATTGCAGCCAGTGGTGAATAATTTTCACAAATGCACTGTAGCTATTTCTCCACCCCTCTGTGGCTTTTTCTTCTATGTCAAAGGTAAGTTCAAACTTGTGAGGATATCTCCAGTAGGTATGGGGAGAAAATTAATAAAGTTGACATTTTAAAGCAAACTCCATTGGTATTTCCCAGACTAACTACAAGAACTGGATTACGGTTGAGTTCTGGTATTAGCTCATCTCCAAATTTTGTGATGTAGTTCTCCAATTAAACTTGTGTAAGAAAGTGTATATATTAGAGATATTCAAGGAAACTACACCTGGTTGGAAAGAGGCTGTATTACCCTGTGTGTAGACAGGGGTGCTGAAAACTCACAGCATATGAGTCCGCCAGTCTTCTATGTTCTTAAGCAGTTGTACGCAGGATAAGGAATGTCAGTTGTATTCAGGAAAGTTGGATGATCTTTTCCTTCAGCATTTTGTTGCTTGACTATCCTAGTGCTGAACTGGAGCAACAAGAGAAACAGAATCCACAAGTCAAGCTTTCCACATGTCAGCCTTGAAGTATTGTTGTCAGCATCATCCCACTGTGTTTCTTGGGCTTGAACAATCAGAGGTGGAGCAGAAAGAGACTGGTGATTTATACTGCAGACAGGGGAGGGCCCATTATTTGGACATAACACCAAAATATCATACTTGCTGCTTATGATAAGGAAGCCACGTGTCTGTTACTTTCATATTGTGCTCCAAAATAATTTTTAGCTGACGGTTACATGGTAACGAATAGGACCCTGTAAAACTGCAAGGAGGAGGGCAACCCATTTCTCCTTCCTTGGTTCTGAAAGCTTAGTATGGTACTCTGCAATCAGATATATTTCCCTAGTGACATGAGGAAAGCTTGAATGTGCACTTTGCTACAGTAAGTTGCAAAAGGATCAGCATCAAGTGTGTGTGTTAAAGAAAACTTTATACTGTTAATCATTATGTGCAGCTGCTAATCTAGATCAGCTAGTAAATTAGAGCCACACCCGGTGGGGTTATAACTGTATGTGTTTTAGAATACAGTTCAGCTTTTGCTCTGAAGAGCTTATGCTCACAGCATTTTGCTCAACCATTTGCGCTGCTCATATGAAGGAAGATGAAGAAGCCATGCTCTTTGCATTCTGTAATTCTTACAAGGACTATGTAAGTCTGTTGCACTGCTTATTTTGTATGCAACACTGCAAGTTTATGTTTTGACTCCGCTGACAAGAGTAAAGTTTTCTGTTCTTTTTCCTCTTGCCTTTGTGCAAAGTTATGGTGTCTTTTGCATTGGACCAGACTAAATTCCACTTAAGCTTCTCAAACAATGGTTCTCAACCTGGGGTCCCCAGATGTTTTTGGCCTACAACTCCCAGAAATCTCAGCCAGTTTATCAGCTGTTAGGATTTCTGGGAGTTGTAGGCCAAAAACATCTGGGGACGCCAGGTTGAGAACCACTGTGTAAGGCATGAATTCAGGAAAAAGCAGAGTGATTCTGAAGAGGCATAGGGTTGCTTCCATTCATGGAGACCCTCTCTTACATTTTACTCCTAACTTCAGTTTCTCACAGTTAGAGGAACCCAAGGCCCCTTCTAAACTGCCATATAATCCAGATTATTGAAGCAGATAATCCACATTTTCTTTTTTTGAACTAGATTATATGAGCCTGCACTGCCATATAATCCACTTCAAAGTGGATAATCTGGATTTTATATGGTAGTGTAAAAGGACCCCGAAGTCCCTTCACACAGCTGAATAAAATCCCACATTTTCTGCTTTGAACTGGAATATATAGGTGTGTGGACTCAGATAACTAAGGGCCCTTCCACACAACCCTATATCCCAGAATATCAAGGCAGAAAATCCCACATTTTGGGATTGACTCAGATAACCCAGTTCAAAGCGGATATTGTGGGATTTTCTCCTTGATATTGTGGGATATAGGGTTGTGTGGAAGGGCCCTGAATTTCATGAAAAGCGACCTTCTTTATCTCCTAGTTGTAAGTGTTTGGAACTCACTTTAATCCGTTTGGGTTTAACTTCAAAATCTGTAGTCATGATTGTCAGCACCCTCTAAAACTATGTTCTCACATGGAATATCATGTTTTATCTTCCCTGTTCCTCATGGTACGACCTCACTTGTCTGTTCACCTGTTGGCAGAGAACAGGAGAACCACAGTTCACAACGGAGCACACGGAGACAGATATGTCAAAATGCTGGCAGAAGTCTCCTTCTGCTGGTAGGAAATTAGAAATGCTGGCAAATAGATCTCCGAATCCGGGATGTATATTATGTTAGTGAGAACTAATTGAACACATCAATGCATGTATACCACCAGGCTGCTTTTTATAATAGCTGAGCATTAGGCAACCATAACAGTTGATGGAGGTGAATAATTGGGGCTGTTGGGCTTGGCCACTAACCCCATCATCAACCCATTTCAAATGTAAGAAGTGTTTTCTCTAAAGTCAGTTTATGCAGTGAAGGTATGAGCCTAGCCCAGTAGTGTCACTCGGGTTAGTTTCACCCAGTGCGGTAACTCCTGATGTCATTCCCATGAACTTCATCCTGTGCCAGACCAGACCATAATATTGTACCTAAAATACCAGATAATTTAACAAAATCAGTGACTATAAAATCTAACATTAACTAAAACAACAGCAAATACTTATTGCACGAGCAGATGAAAATATGTGAGTCAAGGTGTCATTATAACTGAGTGACAGTGACAGCCCTGAGCAGAATGCATGCACAGTGTAGAGTTTGGCCCTTGTAGGCATATTGAGACAGTACGTTTTTGTAGTTATATCTGTGGCGCAGCTGGCTGGGAGTCAGCTGCATTAAGATCACTACTGATCAAAAGGTAATGAGTTCTAAGCCAGTCTGGGTCGGAGTGAGCTTCCGACCAATTTGTGTAGCTTGCTGTCAACCTTTGCAGCCCGAAAGACAGTTGCATCTGTCAAGTAGGAAATTTAGGTACCGCGTATGCAGGGAGGCAAATTTACAACACCATAAAAATCTCCAGCAAGCATGCAAAGAATGAGGAAGTACTTCATCAGTGTCACAAATGGACCGTGAAGCAACAGCTCCCCTGGTGGCCAGTATACCCTCATGAAAAAGCTGGAATGTTAAATAGCCTCTGTGTGCCTGTCTATATATGTTGTGTGTTTATGGCATTGAATGTTTGCCATGTATATGTACATTGTAATCTGCCCTGTGTCCCCTGCGGGGTGAGAAGGGCAGAATATAAATACTGTAAATAAATAATAAGAACTACTGGAATATTTTAAAATAAATCATAATATATTTCTACTGAAACACTGCACATCTGAAGATTCCAGCCTCAGATGCAGTCGAAACTTCAGGAGAAAATGCTGCTAGAACACAGCCATACAGCGGAAACCACACAACACTCCAATATTTACCCTTTTCAGTCAGAGAGCGATTGCTGGCAAAGTGGCATGGCCCCATGGGCCATGTGAAGATGTTCAAAAATAAAGATAACGATATAAGCTTTGGACAGCATAGGTAAGGGTTAACACCCCTGTGGTATTTGTTTTGCTATCTGTGGCCCTGTTCAAAAGATTTCGCCTCTCTTTCTGTCCCTGTGAGAATTGGATTTTGAAAAAATTGGCTTGCTGTGGAAACAAGGATTGGAGATAAAGCTTTAGTGGTGATACCTTTTCCCCATGATATTCTTTCAGGAGTGAATTCCCCATCCTAGGGGTAGATTTCTCTCACTTCCTGTTGTCTCACCCTTATTCTTATCTATGAGTCATTTGTAAATCAGATGTTTGTAACTTAGATATGAAAATGAGTGATGCTGCATAGCATATGGACTAAGTATCCACTGCCACATCTAACTGTTGCCATTTTTCATTTTCAGGAAGTTTATCTTGGGTCACAAAGTTGATGCCACAGACTATCGGGCCACACCATCTCTCCCGGGATTTGGAAACCTTACCCAGGGATACAACCGATATCTCAGGCCAAATTTTGGTGGTATGTCCTTGTTGGAATCTTTTAGTGGCAAAGACATTTCATCCTATCAGGAAGGAAATATTTACTTGGTCTTCGTGGATTTCTGTGGAATGTGTCTATTTGTTTAATGTTAGTCCCCGTTGTCGGTTTCCTTTTTTATTTTATGACTTTAACAATGTATTATTAACCCGAATTTAAAATTTGAGGAAGACCTGTGGGACAAACCATTGCTATGCCAGGATGAAAAAAATCTTGACTTATTTTAAAAAATATTGACTTATAAAATAATAAAAAATATTTTTTAAAAAAATCTTGACTTTACATGTAGACAGATACAGGCTAAGCTGGTTATGAGCAAAATAGAGATTTTGGACCCAGTATGCTATTGCTATGTGAAAAAGGCAAATTCTATGATGAGGATCTTCAGAAATATACATAAAAATACTACACCATTTATTATTATTTTCTAAAAATAATGTTTGTTAGATTTTGAATATACATAAAAAAAAGAAAATGTTCACACATACAAAACTACATACAACCAGCAACTCACCTCCAGTCCCCCCCCCCCCCCCCCCCCCCCCCCCCCCCCCCCCCGCGACAACCACATTTGCTCAAGACATTTATTCAAAACACTATCTTAAAAAGAAGAAAGAAAGAAAGAAAGAAGAAAAAAACTACTACACCATAGAATCATAGAATCAAAGAGTTGGAAGAGACCTCATGGGCCATCCAGTCCAACCTCCTGTCAAGAAGCAGGAAATATGCATTCAAAGCACCCCTGACAGATGGCCATCCAGCCTCTGTTTAAAAGCTTCTGAAGAAGGAGCTTCCACTACACTCTGGGGCAGAGAGTTCCACTGCTGAACAGCTCTGACAGTCAGGAAGTTCTTCCTAATGTTCAGATTGAATCTCCTTGGATTATTGCTTCTTGGCTTTATGTCTAAGATTCAGTGTAGTATATCCATGGATTCTTTGTCCATGGATTCAACCATCCATGGCTTGAAAGTATTCCAAGAAAAAAAATCCCAAATCCTTGAGTGTTAATCATATTTGGATATCCATGGTGTCCTGAAACCAAACCCTAGCAGAAACCAAGAGCCCACTGTACTGTCAGTTTTCCAATGCTTCCATGCAGATACATGGTATAACCATGTGTTGAATAGTAGGCACAGTTCTAGTAATTTCACCTCTAAAAATATTGTAGATTTGGCAAAGTTGCAGAAAAGAGCAATTTCAATAATAAGGGATAAGATTGAGAAAAGGCTGTAGCATTTTATTTTGAGAAAAGGTAAGGAAGTTGATGAGAGGGGTATATAAAACTGTGCAAAATGTTAAAAATGGATAGGGAGGGTTTTTTCTCTACCTGTGTCATAATGTGAGAGCCTTGGGTCCATCCAGTGATGTTCAATTTGTATTTTTGACATATTCTTATTTGCTTTTTATTTGTCACATTTTTTATGACCCGGACAAGAAAATCCTTAGTTTCTTCATTGGTCATAAGACTATTGTGTGTATTCATGATTAAATCTTCACGGTACGGCCTTATTTCCCAAAATGTTCATCTGTAGACGTAGCCGTCCAAACTTTTTCTTCTTCAAACAACTTCCTTTTCACTTTTGTAGGAGAACCTGTGATTATCGCAATGAGCCTTAATGTTGCAAGTATTTCCAGCATTTCTGAAAGTGATATGGTAAGCAAAGCATTACCCCACCTGTTTTTTATGCTCCTTATATGAGAAAATAGGATAATATAGCTTAAAGTTTCAGAAATCAATCCCTTGTGTCATTGTCAGTACTTCACCATCTGTATTGAAACATTTCTGCTGGTTGGGAGACTCTGTAAGGCCCCTTCTACACTGTCACATGATCCAGATTATCAAATTGGATAATCCAGGTTATCTGCTTTGTCTACACTGCCATGTAATCCAGTTCAACGCAAATAATCTGGATTTTATACGGCAAACAGAAGAGACCTAAATTGTAGACCAAGAAAGCAACTTTTACAAGCAATTGCTCCTGCTTTAGAAGTGTAATTTAGTTTATTTTCTCCAACCATACTTTGCGTGTTTCTATGTAATTCCCAGTATGCATTCATATTATTAAACATTTTAGTAAGTTAGTTATGTTTGCAAGTTATTATTTTCTCATATTTGTGAACCGTTTGGAGCCCCAACCTGATTTTAAATAATCTGTCTGTCATCTATCTATCTATCATCTATCTATCTATCCTCTTTCAGGTGTAATATATCACTTGTATCCTTCGAAAATAAATTACATTTGGGTTGACAAGTAGATAGCAAGCACCCAAATTAATGTATAGGTTGCTGTTGTTGTATAGGTAAAGGTAAAGGTTTCCTCTGACATTAAGTCTAGTTGTGTCTGACTCTGTGGGTTGGTGCTCAACTCCATTTCTAAGTGAAAGAGCCGGCATTGTCTGTAGACACCTCCAAGGTCATGTGGCCAGCATGATTGCATTGAGCACCGTCACCTTCCTGCCAAAGCGGTACCTCACATTTGCATGCTTTCGAACTTCTGGGTTGGCAAAGTTGGGCGTAACAGCGGGAGCTCACCCCACTCCCTGGATTCGAACCGCCGACCTTTCGGTCAGCAAGTCCAGCAGCTCAGTGGTTTAACCCGCTGTGCCACCAGGGAGCCAAATTAATGTATATGAGTTTGTAAACTGCTGCACCTTTCAACATTATTTAAATCCAGATCTTGGAAGAGTCACATATTTTTGTCACATTCACTTTGGGGGAAAAGTGGCCAATGCTGCCAGGAGGATTCTGGGAAATGTCTAAAAAGAATTTTTTCCTAAACTGTGGTATAAATTCAATCCCTGGTTAAAAGCCGAAGTCCAATTGAGTTTGAACTTGTAAGAAAATTGTGATAGATTGACATAATCTTTTCTTGCCGCTAACTTTCTGGGTATTCTGAGGCTATTAATCTTCAGATATTCTCTTCAACCAGAAGCGTTCTCTTTGCTACAGCCCTTACATTTTCCAGATCCCATGCAGAACATTATAAAGCTGTACTCTCTGGCTAGATAAATAATTGAACTACAAATGACCCTGGGGTTTTCACCTGCATTGCTGGGATTAATAATTCACTGCTTTGAAATGGGTAATAGGGCCTCATCTCAATCATTTAAGTGAAGGGAGTTTCCTCCCTGAACAGCATGAGAATAAAATCTGAGAGCTAGCCATGAGATACATGGACGCTCTCTGCATGATGTTAATGGTTTTCCCTCCAAAGGCTGCTATCCGTCTATGTTCTTGGGTTCTTTCAACCCGCAGTGAAGTGGTGTGAGATATGATCTTTTGATTGAGAAGAGCAATGAATCACCGCTTGAGAATAACATAGATGTTCAACAGGGCAGATCCATATATCCACTTATATTATTGTAACTGAGGACATGACTTCGAACCATTTTAGCAAAGACATATTAGACAACTATATATTAATGAGATGCAATAATCTGGAAAATTATGTCTGTAAAGGGCATCTAGTTGAGCTCCAGTGGTCCTCCTTCTGCAAAACATAATGCCTAAAGCAGTGGTTCTCACCTTGTGGGTCCCCAGATGTTTTGGTCTTCAGCTCCCAGAAATCCTAACAGCTGGTAAACTGGCAGGGATTTCTGGGAGTTGTAGGCCAAAACACCTGGGGACCCACAGGGTGAGAACCACTGGGCTAAAGACTTGCCAGCTGCAAAGTTTCAAGGAAACGTTGAGTATCCCTATTTGAAATGCTTGGGACCAGAAGTGTTTTAGAGTTCAGATTTTGGAATATTCACATATATTACTTTTTGTGTGTGGGTGTCAGGAGCGACTTGAGAAATTGCAAGTCGCTTCTGGTGTGAGAGAATTGGCCATCTGCAAGGACGTTGCCCAGGGGATTCCAGGATGTTTTGATGTATTGCCATCCTTGTGGGAGGCTTCTCTCATGTCCCCGCATGAGGAGCTGGAGCTGATAGAGAGAGCTCATCCCTGGATTCGAACCTGAGACCGGTCAGTCTTTAGTCCTGCCGGCACAAGGGGTTAACCCACTGCGCCACTGGGGGCTCCAATATATTACATAATGAGATATCTTGGAAATGGGGCCCAAGTCTAAACATGAAATGTATGTTTCATATGTACCTTATGTACATGCCCATTTTTAAAAATAATGTGGTGCTTGAAACAAAGTTTGTGTGCATTGAACCATCAGAAGTGTTGATGGTTGAACCATCAGAAGTGGCAGAAAGATGCCATTAAAGATGTTTATAAAATCCTAGCTGGCTTGAACTAGAGAACCCAGAAAACCATTTGTTCCTTCATGAACTAATCCTTCCTTCCTTCCTTCCTTCCTTCCTTCCTAAAAAGATACCCTTTTCTTAACCAATGCATACACACCTGAAATGAATAGCACTTGATGCACTTGAATTACAGCACATTAATTGTCCTATCTACCCACATTTCCATTTATGTTTTACTATCACCATATTTTTTAGATGCCATGACAATCTTGACAATTAATACATGAAATATAATTAACTATACTTTTCTGGGGTTTTAAAAATTGTGTCAGAAGAGACTTGAGAATATACGGCTTCACCTCCCCCCCCCCCCCCCGAAATTCTCAGGGTGGTCCGAGAAGGCCTTACTGGTACATTATTTAAACTGTTATGTTTATTCATATCATGATCTGATCACCATGCTCAATATATCCCATATGCATGGGGGTATTGGGATAACGATACAAAAGGTTTGCTAGGGTAGATCCTCAGCCCCCGAATCAAACTCACCCCCCCCCCCGAATCAAATTCCTGGCTACGGGCCTGTCCAGATGTGTTACCATCCTGTGAGTGGCTTCTCTCATGTCCCTTCATGAGAAGCTGGGGCTGACAGACGGGAACTTACCCCATCTTGCGGATTTGAATTGCCGACCTTCAGGTCTTCAATTCAGCAGTTCAGCTGGCACAAGGGTTTAACCCATTGTGCCACCACAATGAGTTAACAATGGGTTAACTTTTCTGCTTAATTAAGGCATAAAACAAAACAAAAAAGCCAAAATCTAGATAGAAAGCATTATGAGAAGTAGAATGAATAAAATATTGAAATAACAGCATTATATTTAGGACTGAGGTAGTGGTGTCAGTTCAATAAATATGTGTCCAGATTCACCCTTTTAAAAGGAGGTTAAAGATCTTCCATGTACAGTCTCTCTTTTGCACTCAGACAAAGAGATTCTGGTGAAACCAGTCAAAGAGCGTTGTGCAACTCTTCCATGTTTCTCACCTTAATGAATTTTCTTTGGTAAGGTGAGAAATGGAAGCAGCGTGGGGCAGGGGTGTGTGTGGGAGGATTAGAAATTGTATACAATGTAATCACCCCACTACGAACATGAAATGTTTAATGAAAACCATGCACTTTGGACTTTGAGGGATTCCCTCATAACTAAAAGACGAGCCTGAATATGTTTTAATGTGTGCATCCTTTCCTAGGATTACACAGCAACAATATATTTACGGCAACGCTGGACAGATTCCCGACTGGTTTTTCAGGGGAACAAAAGTTTTACACTGGATGCCCGGCTAGTTAAATACTTGTGGGTGCCTGACACATACATTGTGGAGTCAAAGAAGTCTTTTTTACATGAGGTCACTGCTGAAAATCGGCTTATACGACTGTTCTCCAATGGCACCGTCCTGTATGCTTTGCGGTAAGTCTACAGACAGATGAAAATTATAGAAACATAAACTATCTCTGACTTATCCTGAGTTTGTCTGTTCATATTCAGAAGCCAGGTTGTGGGGGGGGGGGGGGTGGGGGGGTTGCAATGAAGGCTGCAGAAAAGAAAAGAATTCCACATAATGATGGAAAACTATTCTGAATATATTGAAGAAAAATTGCTTTCTTCAATTATCAGAAGATCACAAGAAGGAAAACTTCTGAATGGGTGAGAATCTTCACAGTTCAATAATTTTTCTATGTGAAAACGGCATTTGAAATTGCCCAGAAAATCACCTTTTCTATGAAGAGTTAGGTCTCTGCAAGAAAAATAGCATTAAAAATAGCATTAAAATAAAAAAGAAAACAATATTTTCTACACAAAAAAGTGTTTTCTGAGCAAAAAAATTGCTGTTTTTTGTGCAAAAAATATGCAGATTTTGCACAGAATGAGCCATGAACTGCAAACAGACTTTGAAAACTACAGATTTTGATTATTCTTTTTTTGCAGCAAAGAGGAACATGGTAAAATTATCCCTAGTTGTTGTCTGTATGAAATTCATGAAAGCTTACATCCCTAATCCCATCATGTGATCAGATATCCTCAAACACAATATTGAATGTAGGCCAGTTCTATCCACCTAAAGAAGTACTACATTATACTCTGTCTCTGAAGTGGAATTTTACAGGGCAGCATGATTTTACAGTGTGTAAAATAGCAAGCAGCCAAAAATCCACAATGCCTTTGAAGAATGTTGGAGGCATCTCTGATGAAACACAAAACACTCTGTGAAATAAAACCTGCCTTTCAGCTCAGAACCCTTTGCTCTGATCTGTTATGTTTATGATATTTTAAAAACAAGACATTTGGCTGGTGTCCTGTTCAGCAGTTGAACTATTGCAAGAAGTAGCTACTAATAACTGTTTCATATTTACATTTATAATCGTAGCACTATTGCCAGGACTTCTGTACTGAGTAAAAGTGTGTGGCGCTGGTGAATGCGGTGCTAAACGATGAGTTGCCATGTCACAAAAGACCTTATTATGTCAGGCAGATGGATCGCAATTACAGCAGGACTTGCCACATGGCTTCAAATAGTCCAACGAGAGGTAGCCAGGCTAATAACTGGGGCGGCATACAGGGAGCATACAACTCCCATGTCACACCAGCTCCAATGGCTGCCAGTTTGCTACCGGGCACAATTCAAAGTGCTGGCTTTGGCCTACAAAGCCCTAAATGGCCCCGACCCAAATTATCTGTCCAAACACATCTCCCCCTATGAACCATCATGGAGATTAAGATCCTCCGGGGAGGCCCTGCTTTCCGTCCCGCCATTGTCACAGGCATGATTGGTGGGGACATGAGACAGGGCCTTCTCAGTGATTGCTCCCCGGCTATGGAACTCCCTTCCTGGTGAGATCAGGTCGGCCCCCTCCCTCCTGTCCTTTAGAAGGATAGTAAAAACTTGGCTGTGGGACCAAGCTTTCGGGACAGGGCAATAAAGTGGCAATAGGAAAGATGACCAGGCTAATTAGATTTGATGCGGATGACTAGGATGGTTTTAAATGGCGTATTTTAATATTTTAACATTTTTTAATGTTTATGTATTGTGTGTAAATTTGTGTCCTGGCATTGAATGTTTGCCATGTATATGCTGTGCTCCGCCCTGACTCCCCTTTGGGGTGAGAAGGGCGGAATATAAATGTTTCAAATAAATAAATAAATAAAATTTGCCTGCAAAAGAGTTGTGAAACAAACTTGCAGGAGTCCCTGCTTCTGCTCATCATACCATGGCTCATTGGTGGGATGCAACTAGATGAATCATCCATCAGCACTCTGCTCACCAGTATACCTTTCAGGCTCTTGAGGTGTATTTTAGAGAGTTGGATTGGGAGATGGAGCATAGGTACAAGATCATAATCACATGTTCCATGCAAATTTTGGGTCTACATTTATGTCCCCTAGCTTGGATACCCGGTGTTGCCTGGGTTATTCAAAAAAGCCAAACCTCTCTAGTATATTCAGTTGTTGATCAATAATCTGTTTGCTGTGTGCCATAGAAAAGAATAGGAAAGGATTAAGGGAGAGGCAGTGGGCGGAGTCAGGCAAATTCCACAGTAAATGAGAGAGTAAGAAACACTAGGATGTCTGTGGTGGAGGAAACATATACAATCTAGGATGAAATTGTCCCCCTATGGAAGTCTTCACTTAGGTGGTGGGCAGTATGGTGTTTGTGGAGAGCTCTTGGACATGTTCATGGTACTCACTATAACCTGCAATGTCATTGGAGGGGAGGGCGATTGGCGTCTCCTGAGTAGTGGGAGATATAGCTTTTTGTGGAGGCAGAAGCTTGTCTACATAAGTCAGGCATCCTCAAACTGCGTCCCTCCAGCTGTTTGGGCCTTCAACTCCGAGAATTCCTGACAATTGGACAAGCTCATTAGGTATTGTCAAAGGCTTTCATGGCCAGAATCACTGGGTTGTTGTAGGTTTTTTCAGGCTGTATGGCCATGGTCTAGAGGCATTCTCTCCTGACGTTTCGCCTGCATCTATGGCAAGCATCCTCAGAGGTAGTGAGGATCTGCTCATCATACCATGGCTCACTTCTCACTACCTCTGAGGATGCTTGCCATAGATGCAGGCGAAACGTCAGGAGAGAAAAAACAGCCCGAAAAAACCTACAACAACCCAAGCTCATTAGGGTTTCTGAGTGTTGGAGGCCCAAACAGCTGGAGGGCTGCAGCCACACACACATACATATTTTCACTTTTATTATGTGTATAGATTATTTATCTAATATCTAATATATATTAACTTGCTTTCAGTTATTGAAGTCACATGAGCTTACATCTTATGTTATCCTATTTCCGCAAATACCAGTTTTCTGACCCACTCTGGTAAAATTCAAGAGAATGCCAGACTATTTTTCTTTTTTAGAGCAGAAAGGTTGCCATGTCTGGATAAAGATGAAAACAGCAGATGCTTTGTAATAAATGCATTCACATTAGGCTTTCTCTTTTGCAGAATCACAACTACAGTTGCATGTAACATGGATTTGTCAAAATATCCTCTGGACACGCAGACGTGTAAATTGCAAATGGAAAGCTGTAAGTACCACATTCTACAAGAAGGTGAAAAACATTCTTCCCTCAATTGACTTTGAGTTAGTTAATTCATATGTAGGAGACTAGTGTAAACATTTTGTTTCTGTCTTTGACACTTTAACTTGTCATTTCAATATCAGCACCATTTCTAAATGGAAACACCCCAAATGTAGAATCACACTGGAGGAGCCCCAATGGATCATACCAAAGGCTATTGTAGTCTAGTGCTTTGTTTTCTTTATTTATGTGTTACTAGCCACCCCCTGCCATTCGTTGCTGTGCCCAGTCTGTGTATATTTGTTTTGTGTGTATATATGTGTGTATATTTGTATATATGTAGTTTTGTGCATCCATTATAATGTAAATTTTTGGCTTTTAAAGTCTCTTCCACTGTGTTTTTTTGGTGTTTTATGAGTGATGGTCACTTGTTGGCCTGATAGGTGTATTGCGCCCAAATTTGGTGTCAATTTGACTAGTGATTTTTGAGTTATGTTAATCCCACAAGAAATCATTACATTTTTATTTTTATAGATGTAAATGTACCTGTTTTCTCCAATGAACATAAGTCTGAGTACACAATTCTCTTTGGCCCAATTTGATATTCCTATTAAACCTGAGAAGAGGATCAGGCTGAAAGAGAGTGAATGGCTGGAGGTCAGACAGTGGTGTTTATGGATTCTTGAAGATATAAGTCTGGATCTTCTAGGTCCATGCCCAATATCAGTGGTTCTCAACCTGGGGTCCCCAGATATTTTTGGCCTTCAACTTCCAGAAATCCTAACAGCTGGTAAACTGTCTGGGATTTCTGGAAGTTGTAGGCCAGAAACATCTGGGGACCCCAGGTTGAGAACCACTGCTCTATATTCTAACTACTACACAACACTGTTTGTCCTATAAATAGCGCTGAGAGTTGCCATTTGTATGTGAAGTATGCATTTTGTCCTTTGGTTCAGGTAGCAAATTGTCTCTGGCCAACTCTAATGCAAAACATGTACTCTACTACTTCCCATAACTGTGTGTTCTGACAACTTGTTGCATTTTGAAATGTTTATCTAATTCATTATTATATAATCATGTATTTGGACATGGTTATATAACTATGATATCTTCCCATGTTCTGTTTGAAGTTGGATTATCTGAAAACCACACGATTCTCACACTGCTGGGAGGTCAACAAGGCCAATTTGCTCCTAGTCACTTGTACTATTTCTTTTTTGTAGTATTTCACTTGTTAGTAAATGAAGTCGGGGGTGGTGGTGGTGGTAATCTGTTTATCATTTTTCCATCCTGTTAGTGCCATACAGAGATGTATGCACAATGTATGCTTCTGTAGAATTCTCTACCTCGCTCACGTAATGGTCTCCCTATTCGAAAAACCACATTTTAAATGCTGGTTCTCCAGAGGAAAGTAGAGTTTGGCTGTGTTCCTGCGCATGAACAACTAAGGCATCCTCCAAGACTTCCTAGGGACCTGTGGAAGTTCCGGAGAATAATTTTGTGTATCTACAGAAATGTAGCCAAACTCTTCAGATGTATCTCCTGATCTCCACTGGTCACTAAATAACTGTTGAAGGAATTTGTATTTATTTATTGTATCAGAAGCAAACCAATGGTACAGTTGTAATGTATTTTAAAAACAGAAACTTTAAAAACTTGGCATTATATGAAATGTCCTTTGACCAGACGCTGGCCACGTGGAGTGCCTCTGGTGTTTCTATAAGAAGGTCCTTCATTGTGCATGTGGCAGGGCTCAGACTGCATTGTAGTAGGGTGTCTGTGGTTTGCTCTTCTTCACACTCGCATGTTGTGGGCTCCACTTTGTGGCCCCATTTGTTAAGGTTGGCTCTGCATCTTGTGGTGCCAGAGCACAGTCTGTTCAGTGCCTTCCAAGTTGCCCAGTCTTCTGTGTGCCCAGGGGGGAGTCTCTCATCCGGTATTAGCCATGGCTTGAGGTTCCCGGTTTTTGCCCACCACTTTTGGACTCTTGCTTGCTGAGGTGTTCCTGCAAGTATCTCTGTTGGTCTTCGAAAACTATTTCTTGATTTAAGGCATTGGTGTGCTGGCTGATATCTGAACATGTTGAAAGAAGATAGTAGAGGACAGAAGCGAATCATGCAGGAGGGAAGACATATAATAGTTTTACACTCTTCGTGGTATATCTCCAAATACAGGATCTCAGACCATATTTTCCTATTTAGAGTTTAGCTGATTTAATTTATATAAGACTATCATTAGTTTACATGCAAACAGCAGATGGCCTCCAAATATATAGGTGTCAAATGCACTCTACAATTCAAATTTCCTCTTTTGTGTGGTTTTGCCCATTATTCTGTTACATTTTGTCATTGACTTTTTAATTAGCATTTATTATAGCATTCGTGTAAGTGCATATTTTTCTCAAAATACAATTAAACATACAATTGGGTATTTGTACTGTGTCACAATTTAAGGAAAGCTACAAAATCAGATAGCTAGCTATGTTCCAGTCTAAAGGGGGTGGAGTATTTTCTTATTTTCTACTGGAATTTGCAAAGTCTGCAAAGTCTTAGAAAAAATAGGTACTTCTGCCATGTTTTTGCACCGAAAGGAACTAATAATCCAATGACAGCAAAAACAGGGAGTAGAATTGAGGGCAGTTCCATACAGCACTTTAATTTAAGTGCATTCGGGTTTTAAAAAGATGATTGGACTCGCACTGAAGTCCGCACACACCCCAGAAAGCAGGGCACCAGGACACAAAGCACCCCCCCCCCCCGGAAATCCTTAAAAAAGGAAAATAACTTACCTGGCCACCATTCCTCCTTCTCCAGCGCTCTCCTAGCACATAGAAATGATGTGCCAGGAGAAAGTGGGAACCGGGAGTGATTTTCCTTTCCCCCCTTCTCCTGGCGTGCCATTTCTAAGCGCAAGGAGAACACCGGAGAAGGGAGAATGGCGTCGGAATAAGTTATTCTTTAGAGTCCGGAAAACACTAGAGGGCTGTGCAGACAGACCTCTCAGAAGTCTCAGGACCCAGGTCTTTCAAGAAGTCCCCAGATGACATATTATCTTGGAACGAAGCAGGGTTTTCCTGCTTTGTCCTGAAAGCATTCACTTTTATGTAGGGCATCATTTTGATACTCCACATGAAAACACGGATGCACCCTCACTTTCCTTGGAAGGCAAGGTAATAGTGGCAGATCAGGTGGAAGAGGTGCTGGATAACTCTCTACTTAGGTGGATACATTAGGGACGGCACCAGATTGATTTTATGGTGGTATGTGGGCCTCAACATACAATTTTGGAAATTATGAGCACCAAGAGGTTCTGGGGGGGAAAAACCATGGGTTTGTTTGTCTTGAGGAATTATCTTTCTGTTACCAATTCAAATAATGTCTGAAATCCCATTATTTTAAAGCCAGGTTTTCCTTGCTAGCTCCTGGAATGGAGTTCCAGTGGAAGTGCCTATTATTTTCACATTAAAATCATATTAGTCTACCATGATTAGCTTTATTACAATGTGCAGAAGCTGAAATAATAATGATTAGCCTCTTGTTTTAAAATGAATCCGAGTTTAGCCTTAAAAAGAGTGCAGGAGAGTTATTGGGCCCTAAGTCAAGTTCCTGTGTCATATTATTCTTATTAAATTATGTGCACATTGCCAACTAGAGATGCCATTAGGATAAATGACTGGAATGAATGCTAGTTAAATCTATGCTATGTGAATTTACAACCATCAGTCATTTATTATCAAGTTCCTTAAGTGACTGCAGCTATTATTATTATGAAGAGGGCAGAAACTTTGGAAAAGTCGTATTTGGTTGATTTGTACCCAGGGAACCAGCACATTTTGTACTCTCAGATGCAAGATTTTAGTGTTTGTTCCTAGTGGAAAAAAACCCAATTTATATGTATCTTTTTGTGAAGACAAACTGACAAATATGAACATTTCAATTTTTATTGAACAGCTAAGCAAACTAGATCATTAAATTATTGCATGATTAAAGCAAACTAATATTTCTGAGAGTACAATAATTACTTGTATTTGCAGTAAGTTCTGTTTATAAGGTGGGGACTACTAAGTCTGTTGGACATTTGAATGCTAGACGTATATCCACGCGCCTGTTGAAATAGCAATGGCCAATTAAAGGGAGTGTTACAGAAAATGACCTTTTAATTTAAATAGAGCTGCATATTTGGTTTACCATTTCTAACCCACGGCTAGCTTTAAAAAACTGCACTACTTGCCTTCAAGAGGAAAGTAAATTATAATTAGGAAGGAAACAGATTTGGGATGATTGCCTGCATAAGTGGAATAACTTCCATATCAGGAGCGGAAATGAATCAACCCTGTTGGTTTAGTGTGGCATCTGTTAAGTGGCCATTTTAGAGTCCAGTAAAGCCAGCAGAGACAAAATATTCGTAATTAACTAACAGAACTTGAAGTATTTGACTCAAAAATTGAACCATTTACACTGATAGTCAGAAATGGAAAAAATTAATTTGTGAACTATGTAGTTACAGTGGGTCCTTGTTATCCACTGGAATTTGGTTCCAGGACTTCCCATAGCAAAATGGATATCATTACATAATAAATAATAATATACTTTATTTATATTATGCTCTATCTCCCCGAGGGGACTCAGGGCGGATAACAGAACACATATAAGGCAAACATTGAACGCTGTTATACAATGAACAAAGACAGGCTATAGATAAATAGAGGTAAAGGCTTTCCCATCTTTATCCATTTCGGCATTTGAAGCTGCGCTCAACTCTGACCATTGGGAGGTGCTATCGCTCCATCTTCCATGCCGAGGAGCTTTTTTATCCTTAGACATCCTCCTGAACAAATGACCGGCATGTCCTTATGGGCGCCTTTTATTACCTCCCCACTGGAGCCCCTGGTGGCGCAGTGGGTTAAACCCTTGTGCTGGCAGGACTGCTGACCAAAACGTCAGTGGTTCAAATCCATGGAGAGTGGGTTGAGCTCTCTCTGTTAGCTCCAGCTCCCCATGCAGGGACATAAGAGAAGCCTCCCACAAGGATGGTAAAACATCAAGTATCCGGGCGTCCCCTGGGCAATGTCCTTGCAGATGGCCAATTCTCTCACACCAGAAGTGACTTGCAGTTTCTCAAGTTGCTCCTGACATGATAAAAAATTGCCTCCCTGAAGTGGTACCTATTTATTTACTCACATTGCTGGTTTTGATTTGCTAGGTGAGCAGAAGCTGGGGTGATGGCGGGAGCTCATCCCAACCCGGGCTTGAACTGCAAACCTTTCAATCAGCAAGATTTTCTACAGCTGGCAGTTTAGCCCATTGTGCTAAAGCCCTACACATACAATGGTGTAGTTAAAATGTCCCTTATATAAAATGACAAAGCTTTTTGGAATGTTTAAAAATACTTTCAAGTTGTGGATGGTTGAATCTGCAGAAACATTTGTGGTTTTGACTTGTTGATTATTCATGGATTTGATTAAAATGTTATCTCTAGGAATCTCTAGGTTCTCCAGTGTGGCTCTGTGGTCAACTTCCACCAGAGCTTATTGTTGGAGTTCAGCTTGTGATTGTGTTTCAGGATCAGGGTGCTTGAGATGTGGGGAATGATATTAATGAGGTTCAAGATGTGGGGAATGATGTTAATGAGGTTCAAGATGAGTTTCAAGATGGCAATGGTTTGGTCAGTGATACTGATGCAGAGAATGACCAGGAGATCTCTGTAGTTTCCCATGAGAATATCCCTGAGGGGTCTGGGGATTATGATGAAAATAGCTCAGCACCTGCAGAAATTAATGAGCAAATAGATAACAAGCCGAGAGATAGATGATAAGAGTTCAGTCAAAACAGGAGAGTTGTGCAAAGGCTTAGATAGAAAACAATAACAAAGCCTCAACTAAAGAGAAACCAACTTCTCATCGCTAGTGACCTAGCTAATGAGGTGATAAAAGTCTCAAGTGTAGGATGTGTAGTCAGATGAAGCATCATTTAGAATCACGCCAATTTCTCATCCTTGTTTTATAGAAACCTTGCTTTGAAGCTTCATGCTAAGATATTTATTGTTCATGGCTTTGGATTCCTGGATTTCATGATTGCTTACCCAAGCCTTGGATCAATGTATTCCTGATATTCTGGATTTTATTGGAGATGTGTGGACTTTGCTTTTATGAACGTTGCTGAACTCTACCTTGGAGTAATTTGTTCCTGCTTATCTTCTTATCTAATTGGATTTACCTATTTCTTTAAAGTGCTTTTTTACTTTGCTGCTTTTAACTGATCTTCAATAAAAGGATTGTTTTTTCCTATTCGATGTGTGTTGTTTAAAGTCAGAGGGTTATTCCTGTTCTGGAGTGCAACAGTTATGCTGGATGGTGTCAAACTTGTGGCTCCCCAAATGTTTCAGCTTCCAACTACCAGAAGCCCTAACCAGCTTGCCCAATGGCTGGGAATAAGACCCAAAGGGCCACAGGTTGTGCACAATTGCTCTAAATTAATGGAAGACAGACCTCTTCTTCTGGTGAGAGCTCACCATACAGTTTTGCTGGAAAATCTAGGGAAATGAAACAGCATTTTTATGCATAGTTTTTCACTTCTGCAAGGGTAGTGCACTCCTAACCCCAGTGAATGTGGAGGGCTGACTGCATATGCTTTTAAAATAAACCATGAGCTTGACAAAGCATGGCATATCTTGTACGTCCCTATTGCCTCTCCCCCAGTAGCCCAATTTTATCATCGACTCTTTCAACAGTTCTCTTTTTGCAGTGTTAAGAAGTGGGACCAATTTACACATTGTCATATTTAGTTCATTATTCCCAAGTGCTGCTCATTAACCTGGTGTGTCAATCTTCTTGTCAATCTTCATTTCTTCATCTCTAGGGGGATATGATGAAAACGATGTACTGTTCACCTGGTTGAGGGGGAATGATTCTGTCCACGGCCTTGAGAACCTGCGGCTCTCCCAGTACACAGTGGAACGGTATTGCACCCTTTCAACAATGTCCCACCAGGAAACAGGTAATGAACCTGAACAGTGAGTTGAAGCAAATAGGGAAACAAAGCTCATTGCCTGCTAACCCCAGGTAATGCTTTCCAGTCCAGCTATAAAGCTTTCTATGATCTTGAGTTATTTCCTGATGAAAGTTTTGCATGTGGGGCATTTGCTGTTGGAAATAGTCAAATGGTTTGAGGAACAGATAGAGGGCCCTTACACACATCCCTATAGCCCAGAATATAAAGGGAAAACATCCCACATTATCTGAGTGTGGACTTAGATAACCCAGTTCAAAGCAGATATTTTGGGATTTTCTGACCTTGATATTCTGGGACATAGGGCTGTGTGGAAGGGCCCATACTCCTCCCACTCAGGTTCATTTTATATCATCAAACGATCTGGCATTATTGTTTTGTGAGTACCAATGAGACAATATACTTAGCACTATATCACCATTAGAGCTGCTCCCTCTAATGGTGATATAGTATATGCCTATTTGTCATACTAATTCTGCTTATCTGTTTACAGTAGACTCTCTGATATCCAACATCCATGGGGATAAACGTAGTTTCTGGTTGCTTGAGAGTTAGTATTAAAAATAAGCCTAACAAACGCTATACCTTAAACTATACTGTTTTACTGTATTATATAATATATAATATATTAATATTGGAGCCTCCGGTACGCAGTGGGTTAAACTCCTGAGCTTTTGAACTTGCTGACTGAAAGATCAGTAGTTCAAACCCAAGGAGTGGGGTGAGCTCCTGCGGCTAGCCCCAGCTTCTGCCAACCTAGCAGTTTGAAAACATGCAAATGTGAGTAAATCAATAGAAACCGTTTCAGCAGGAAGGTAACGGCGCTCCATGCAGTCATGCTGACCACATGACCTTGGAGGTGCCTACCACAAGGCCAGCTCTTTGGCTTCGAAATGGAGATGAACACCACCTCACAGAGTCGGACATGACTAGACTTAATGTCAAGGGGAAACATTTACCTTTACTACACCAATATTATATAATACTGTTTTAGGGTAAGGTAAAGGTTTTCCCTGAAATTAAGTCCAGTCGTGTCTGACTCTGGGGGGTGGTGCTCATCTCCATTTCTAAGCCGAAAATTCGGCATTGTCTGTAGACGCCTCCAAGGTCACGTGGCCAGCATGACTGCATGGAACACCCTTACCTTCCCACCAGAGAAGTACTTATTGATACTGTTTTACTGTACTATAAAACAGCTTTTATTAAAAGTATTATTTGATTTTTTGCCAATTGCTAGAGAGTTTTAATTGCGTGAGTATCGATTAACTGCAAGTATACTGTATATTGTATTTAGCACACTCTGTTATGTGGTTTATTAATAAAGGGTTAAGATGGGCTTAATTTGCAAATATGCTTGCCAAGAGATGTTCCTCTTATGGAATCCAGTTGAGAGAAGAAAAAACAATGTTGTCTAATACATGTACGTTGAACACAATGCCTAAATTGAATCTTAGAGGTAGCATCTTGTGCTTTGTTTCTGAACCATGCAGACAAATCTGCCTTCTCAGTTGCTTCTCAGGCCGACAGTAATACCACGGAGATACCTCTTTCCTTATATTTATAGTCAACACTGTTTTGTGTGTGCCATATTAAGCTGAACTATATCAACTCTTCCTTCTGGCCAGTTATGAGATTGTAAATCTCTGCTGACTCCGAAAATTTACATCTTTTTGGCTTAAGAGCATTTACTCTCCTTAGACGTCTTCTTTTCATGGATGGTGTTTTCTTCCTCTGAATAGGCAATTACCCAAGACTGGTATTGCAGTTTGAACTCAAGAGAAATATCCTTTATTTCATCCTGGAGACTTACGTGCCGTCCACTCTGCTGGTTATTCTGTCTTGGGTTTCTTTTTGGATCACTCTGGATTCGGTTCCTGCAAGAACATGTATTGGTGAGGTGTTCCTTGAAATAAATCCATTATTAGATATTATAAATATTACCTTCTGGCTGAGAGATTTTGTGATCTGCAACCAAAGAAATATTGTTTCCAACTCTGCTTATTATAGACATGCCATGAAGAGTGGGTGGAGAAGGGGAAGGAGAGCAACATGTTTTTCATGTTACCCTGAAAGTAGGAAATTAAATTTTCATCCTATTAAAATTTTAAGATATTTTTTTTCATGTCAGAAGCGACTTGAGAAACTGCAAGTCACTTCTGGTGTGAGAGAATTGGCCGTCTGCAAAGATGTTGCCCAGGGACGCCCTGATGTTTTACTATCCTGTGGGAGGCTTCTCTCATGTCCCCGTATGGGAAGCTGGAGTTGACAGATGGGAGCTCACCCACCTCACAGATTCGAACTGCCAACCTTCAGTTCAGCAGTTCAGCTGGCACAAGGGTTTAATCCATTGCGCCACTGTGGCAATTTATTTTGAGAAATGAAATTAATAATCACAAATATTTGACATTGGACAGGTTTTCAGGCTGACATTTGGAATGAGAAAGATTTAGGGTGTGATTTTAAATCACATCTTGAATGTAATTTTTCTCAACTCCAATTTTGCCTGCTTTCAACTCATTGGCATCTCTTGATTATTTTATTTTATTTTATTTTGGCAGACTTCTAATATGAAATCCCATAAGCTGCCAAATGCCTGCTACTAATTACCACCGTATGTTATCTATCTAAACCTGTCAATGTCAGATGGATAATACCATTAGCAGTCAACTAAGAAGTGCTATCAGATTTCAAATATCATTACATGCTAACTATCAAACATAATCACATCTGGCAATTTCCACCCATAAACTGTCATCCTAGGTGGTTGGATTTTTTAATGGCTTCTCAAGGGTTCCTCAACCAGAATGTCAATGGAAGACCACCAAGAGGACAAAAATCACAGCATTACAAGCTGTGTACCAGTTTGTAATATATTTCCCTGCAGTGTAAAGGAATGCCAGGTATATTCCAGAACATCAGCTCATACAGAAGACAGCCTAGAACATATTCCAGAATTCGTTGTATTATGAAGTGTTTCCATGATAAGCCAAGAATCCTTAGAGACAAGGCCACATGAAACAGGAATATCTAGGAGATTTGAGCATGATTCCAAACTATGCCTGGTCTAGAGAAAATTCTCTAAGAGCTCAATTTAAGTCCCAAAAAACTGGTTTCTACCCCCCCCCCCAGTTTTTGGCCTTAACAGCCGAATTCTTTCTGACCTGTGTAAACATTGGGCCTCTCAATGGTTCTGGCTGACTTCCAGATGGCGACTGGTCTTATCTAACTCCTCATTAACTGCAGCAGGTGTGAAATTATCTTGCAAACTCGACCCTGGAGAAGGGAGTAAACTTTCTTCCCTGGCTGTGACAGGAACTTTCTCATGAGAACTTAGCCCTTCCCCTGACCCTTCTCAATCAGAGTCTGCAGTAACCTTATTGTCCAGAGTGTCTCCATTTTGCACCTCATCCTCATTGATCACATCAGGTTCACTATCTAAGTCAGACCCAGAAACATTAGAAGGGGGAAACACAATCACAGATACAGGCTCAAACACAGGCTGAGTCACAACAATATCTGATATGCAGGATGAATTTTCATTCACTGGACCAAATTTGGCACAAATACCTGATACGTCCAAACATGGATACTGGTGGGGATAGGGGAAGGATTGATTTTGTCACTGGGGAGTTGTAGTTGCTGGGATTTATAGTTCACCTACACTTCAAGAGCATTCTGAACTCCAACAATGATGCAATTGAAGCAAACTTGGCACACAGAACTCCCATGACCAACAGAAAATACTGGAAGGGTTTGGTGGGCATTGACCTTGAGTTTTGAAGTTGTAGTTCACCTACATCCAGAGAGCACTGTGGACTCAAGCAATGATGGATCTGGACCAAACTTGGTACAAATACTCAATATGCCCAAATGTGAACACTGGTAGAGTTTGGGGAAAATAGACCTTGACATTTGTGCGTTGTAGCTGTTGGGATTTATAGTTCACCTACAATCAAAGAGCATTCTGAACCCCCACCAACAATAGAATTGGGCCAAACTTCTCACACAGAACCCCCATGACCAACAGAAAATACTCTGTTTTTTGATGGTCTTTGGTGACCCCTCTGATACCCCCTCACGACCCCCTAGAGGTCTTGACCCCCAGGTTGAGAAACACTGGTGTAGCAGAACAAACAACTCCACATGTATATGCTTGTCCGCAATGTCCTGCCTCACATACAAAGGAAGAAATGTTTGAGGCTACTGACAATGCGGTCAATGTTACCCATTTTTGGTAAAAAGATATATAGCCCTCTATTTATATCAGTTTTATACTAATTTCTGCAATGCTTTTGATACGAAATAAAAAAGTGAGATTTCAGAAGACTAGCTGGCTGTCCTCAGATCTGGTGGAAGTAGGTTGTTACTTGTTATACAGCTGTAATAATAGTCAATTGCTAGTGATTGGTCTCTGCATGTCATAAAAGTGATGTTCCATTAGTATCCTCTACTAAATTTCAATACAAAATGTCCATCTGCCTTGCAATGACCATGTTTTCTATTCTGCTTTACAGGAGTAACAACAGTGTTGTCGATGACCACTCTGATGATGGGCTCACGCAACTCAATAACCAAGACTAATGGTTTTATCAAAGCCATTGATATTTACCTAGGCATCTGCTTCAGCTTTATATTTGGTGCCTTGGTGGAATATGCAGTCGCACACTATATCATGTCTCAAAAATGTATACACAGTAAACCTGAAAAGGTGAGCAAAAGATGGAAATGGTCAAACAGATCTAGCTGTCAACAGATATTACAAAAAGAATTGATTTGCACATTCATTACATACACACATTTTCATATATATTTACAAGTGTATGTGTGGGCAATCTTTGGTTGTAGAAACTAAAACAATGGGAAAATGAACATTTAGTATTTAATTATTGGGCTTGCATGATTATTTGAAAATATAGTTTGGAAATGTCACTTTTCTCAGTGGAGACAAGCAGGAAAAGGAGAATGAATCCAACCTATACTGCAGCTTATGCATGGTCCTTTTTTTCTACTCAGAAAAAGGATTTTATCATTTGGATGCTCACCTTCCCAGAGAAGAAACTACGGCACCTCCATACATTATTTTAAAAGGCTCTAAAATCACTGAGTTGTTGTAGGTTTTTCGGGCTATATGGCCATGTTCTAGAGGCATTCTCTCCTGATGTTTCGCCTGCATCTATGGCAAGCATCCTCAGAGGTGAGGTCTGAGGATGCTGGCCATTGATGCAGGCGAAACGTCAGAAGAGCATGCCTCTAAAACATGGCTATATAGCCCGAAAAACCTACAACAACCCAGTGATTCTAGCCATGAAAGCCTTTGACAATACATTGCTCCAAAATCACTTCACTGGTCTAGGATTATAAGTTCACATTATGTTTACACTTGTACCTATAAAAGTCAGGGTTGGTTCCAGATTCAAAGTAGCCCAGGACACAGTGTCTTTCGGTACATCTGTTTTCTGTTTGTTTGTTTGTTTATTTATTTGCCATATTTATACCCTACCTTTTCTACCCCATCAGGGGAACTCAAGGCAGCTTACAATGGCACATACACAGTGCCTCAAAACAACAAATTAACCTTAAAATAGTTTAAAATTACAACATATTAAAATGGTTAAAATACATTCAAAGTTAAAAGCACACCATCCAAGGCAGTGGTTCTCAACCTTGGGTCCCCAGATGCTTTTGGCCTACAATTCCCAGAAATCCTAACAGCTGGTAAACTGGCTGGGATTTCTGGGAGTTGTAGGCCAAAAACATCTGGGGACCCCAGGTTGAGAAGCACTGACCTAAGATCTAAGGCCGTTCCAAGGTCAAATTGAACATAATTCTATTCGGTATACTGCATTGCCCTAATTTCCTCAGGCTTCGATGGTCTACTTACAGAGAAGGTACTCTGAGAAATATCAGTGTTGCAGCATTGTTTTTGGGGATTGTGGGAAATTGAAATGGAAGCTATACCCAACCATCACATTTTGGTTAGATTCTCTCTCTCTCTCTCTCTCTCTCTCTGACATATATATATCATACCTTATCAGACATATATCATACCTTATCAGACACAGTTTTCTTCCTGTTTCTCCATGCTGCCAAAACGGGGTCCCACAGAGTCCATCACATGACACGGGGCAATGTCTAGTATGGCCATGTTCTAGAAGCATTCTCTCCTGACGTTTCACCTGCATCTGTGGCAAGCATCCTCAGAGGTTGTGACCTCACAATCTCTGAGGATGCTTGCCACAGATGCAGGTGAAACATCAGGAGAGATAATAAACAAACTACCAGAATGTACAGTAATGCAACTGCAAATGGCAACAGTGGGACATTAACTCTCCTAATTAGTTATTAGTATTTCAATGGAAAATGTGGGCCTGCTTTTGGCTGATGAGATAGGATTGTTGTTATTATTGTGTGCTTTCAAGTAGTTTAATACTTAGGTTGACCCTGAGCGAGGGCCAGGTAAATGACCTTGGAGGGCCACTGGTCTAAGTTTGAGGACCCCTGGTCTAAGAGACCAAATATTAATGTCCTCTTTAGGTACTCACTGAGCACTGTTGTCGGACGTCATTGGATGGCTTCCTATATGTTCTTCCTCAGTAATGATTTTTGACATCTTGACCACACTCTGATGTCACTTTGCCCTTTATGTCCCCAGTTTCAGTTGTGAAACACTGGAGAGTATCACAAAAAGTCCTACTACTTTGCCCTTTTACTACAATGTACAGAAAAAGACATAATTCCTCTGAAAAAAAAAACCTGTTGTTGCAGGTTTTTTGGGCTGTACGGCCATGTTCTAGAAGCATTCTCTCCTGATGTTTCACCTGCATCTTGTTGTTTATTAGTGATAGACATCCTCACCTGTCACTCACTTTCTCCTGTTTCAGAGTCCTGCCAGTGATGTTCCCAGAGAAAATGAGGATGTCACCATCACCAACGTCCTTACCACTTCTGCCACCAGCTACAATCAAAAAATAAACTTCACTGACATTGATAACGTTGCCTATGGTGGCTTGAACATAGCTCCAAAAGACAAAATGAAATCCATGTTGAAGAACAAGCTGCGCAAAGTCATTGACTTTTTCACCATTCAGAATCCATGCAACATTGATCACTATTCAAAACTGCTATTCCCCTTTTTGTTTGTCTTAGTTAATTTGGTTTACTGGGCTTATTACCTGATGTTTTAGGGAAATGCAGCTGTCTCACAGAACAGCAAATTAACTGTCAGTACAACATGCTCAGAAGTTCACTTTTGGTAATATTTCAATGGATTCAATATGTGCCAGATGATTTACTTTTGGCAGGGCATCTGGAGCCCGCTCGTGAGATGCTTATAGCATGAAATGGCTTTGGAGACGCTATCTCTCAGGTACTCAAACTGTGGCTGCATTGCCACATGAAGGATTTGTCTCAAAACTGATAGGGATGTACAAAAGTCCCATAAATGGCAGGACATTAGTTAGTGACAGCAGTGTGATGGTGTATCTTACCCAGAAAGGTAAGACTTCCCATATCAATTAATTTGTTCTGCCAGTTTTTATCTCCACCAGGAGCAAGCCTTTTGTAAATCCAGTGGGTCTTCACTGCTCACTTAATGCTGAATTATTTTACATCACAATAAGGATAGGTTCCAACAATATGTTGTTACTGGAAAAGCCTACCCCTCACCCATGCTCAATGCCTGTGAGGATTGCACCTAAGGGCAGAAGGGACAAGTCACTGGATTGAGGTGTCAGGAGTGACACCATCACCTCTGCTGAACGAAAACTCCCAGTGCTCTGACCCCAGAAACCTGAGTCCACTACATCTCTGCCTGGAAAGAGGGATAAAAACAAGTGGTGAAGGTAAGGCTCTTCATGGGTTGTTGTCATCATGTGCTAAAACAAATAAGTTAAACTTAGAGGTGTATGGGCAACATAAATGAGAATATTGCTCCCGTCGAATAAAATTTTGTTGTCTTCCACACACCCCCCCCCCCCCAACATTTCTACCATTGTAGAAATTGAGATAGTACATCTTATGTTTGCTGGATTCCTATTCCCTTTGTAACTTTGCATGCCCATTTTCCTGGAATACATGTGCTGTACAGTCAGAAGCTGACTATAGCTCTGCATTGGAGGACCTAAAGATTCCATGTCAATCAAATCCAGGAATGATCAAAATTAATGCTCACTTGAAGGCAGGGCCATAGCTAGAAAAAAAATTTGGGGGGTGGGGGTTGTTTGAAACTTCTTTTTAGCAAAGCATGAAGAGTAGTTTGATAACACAACAACATTTTTTAATACAGTCCAAAGACCCTTATTGCTCCGTAAAAGGTATAAGASACAAGGTATGAAAGGTTAGTAAGGCCAAAAGTAGCAAAAAAAAWTAGAGTTTTTTAACCTGAAAAATTTCAGGGGGGGTTGAACCCCTAAACCCCTTCCACCCCCCACCCCCCACCCTGGCTATAGGCCTGCTTGAAGGGTTAAATCACTGCAATGCTAGAAATTGGAGGACCAAAAGGACAATGTCAAGAGGAGGGACAGAATTTTTACTGGAAAACAATGCTCTYGTCGTATTGTTGAAGGCTTTCATGGCTGGAATCACTGGGTTGTTGTAGGTTTTTCAGGCTATATGGCCATGTTCTGGAAGCATTCTCTCCTGACGTTTCACCTGCATCTATGGCAGGCGTCCTCAGAGGTGGCAAGGGTTAGGGTTAGGAAGCAACCTCTGAGGATGCTTGCCATAAATGCAGTCGAAACRTCAGGAGAGAATGCTTCTAGAACATGACCATATAGCCCAAAAAACCTACAACAACCCAATGCTCTCATTCCCCCTCTTTCATAGCTACATCCCTCTCTGTGTAAAAGACCTTCCCTTCTGTAGTCACAGGCATTTTATATTTGTGGACACAACCATTTTAAGCTAGGTTTTTTCCCCTAGTCATTTGCCTGGAATAAATCTGTGACCGAATTGACCCTCATTGTGTTTGCTATTTAATATCGCCCGCATCCATGTAACAACAAAGCCAATTTGGTGCAGATAATGAGGTTGCTCCATGCAGTCATTCTGGCCACGACCTTGGAGGTGTCTACGGACAATGCTGGCTCTTCAGTTTAGAAATGGAGATGAGCACTACCCCCCAGAGTCAGACCCGACTAGACTTAATGTCAAGGGGAAACCTTTACCTTTAAGGAGGTTGCATTCCTCTCCAAATTCAAAATGAAAGCGATTTGAGCAACATGTCATTACCAGTTTTTTTGGAAAATGAGGTCCTTGAGCAGTACATTACTAATATCATATTTTGAACCCCATTTCATTTGCTACATCACACAAGAGGATGAATCCACTTTAAATCTGGTTTCTGCCTCCTGCAGAATTATGGGGTTTGTAGTTCAGTAAGACTGTTAAAGGCTCCTCCTTGAACTACAAACCCCAGAATTCAGCAGGAGGCAGAAACTGGATTTTAAGTGGATTCATTCTCTAGTGTGATGAGTGACTTATAACATAACCTCCTAGTTCTCCAAGAGATAGAAGATGCATGACCTCCTTTTATCATATAGCATACTTTCACGTGCACACCAGCCTTCTGTTGCGACTTTATGAAAAATGTTGTATTGAAGCTCTTCTTACAGGAGGAGCTTTGAAAGAGGATCAAAGTTGCACTTCTTTACATGTTTAGCTGGGAATATGTCTAATTGACTTCAGTGGGAATTATTTCTAAGGAGAGGCATACAGAATTTTGATGAAACTCAGAGGTTGGATCAACACTCCCATATAATCCAGATTATCAAATTATATAATACAGATTATTTTATTTGAACTGGATTATATAAGTCTATATTGTCATATAATCTAGTTCAAAACAAATAATCTATTTTATATAGCAGTGTGGATGGGGCCTAAGCTGGACAAAACAGTATACATAGTTTTTAGCTATGTATATGTAAACTAGGAGCCCCCGGTGACGCAGTGGGTTAAAGCGCTGAGCTGCTGAGCTTGTTGACTGAAAGGTCGCAGGTTCGAATCTGGGGAGCGGTGTGAGCTTCCGCTGTCAGCCCCAGCTTCTGCCAACCTAGCAGTTCGAAAACATGCAAATGTGAGTAGATCAATAGGTACCACTCCGGCAGGAAGGTAACATCACTCCATGCAGTCATGACGACCACATGACCTTGGAGGTGTCTATGGACAACACCGGCTCTTCGGCTTAGAAATGGAGATGAGTATCACCCCCAGAGTCGGACAGAGCTGGACTTCATGTCAGGGGAAAACCATTACCTTTATCTATATATAAACTATACATGAAGGACCCAATCTGGCAAGGGTTGCTATCTGTGTTAAGGCCCAATATGGATCAAACCTACTAGAACCTTTGAAGAAAAGTGTTCACTGACACAAATGGAAGTTTTTCTTCCAATGCAAACAGCAGATGTACTACTAGGGTTCTTATCTAGACTGAGGCTACAGTGGGATAAGAATAAACCCTATACTTCCCACATATCACGTTCTTAATCCAGGTTGGGTCTTTTGCCCTTTGCATTTAATAATGTATTCAGTAAATGGGTTGTTGTAGGTTTTTCGGGCTATATGGCCATGCTCTAGAAGCATTCTCTCCTGATGTTTCGTCTGCCACAGATGCAGGTGAGACATCAGGAGAGAATGCTTCTAAAACATGGCCATATAGCCCGAAAAACCTACAACAACCCAGTGATTCCATCCATGAAAGCCTTTGACAATACATTCAGTAAATGTTATCAAAATTCAAGCAACATTTTGAGCATTGCGTACTAAATGAAGGACCCTGTGTCTCCCAATGTGAAACAAGGTAGATTGTGCTGCTTGAGTTCAAAGGTTTAGTTAGATTGATGGAGTGCTGCTTTTGACCAAGGATGTTCCTCCATCTCTTCGTGGAGGTGACAGTTTGTTGTGGTGAACTTGGGCTGACGCAAGGCATCTGAGAAGTTTTCCCTGTGACACCTGCCAAGTGCATCTAGCGGGCGCTTACCATATGATTGATTAAAGTTACTCCGGGCTCCTTGCTCTCTGAAATGAGCACAACATATGAAACATTATGGATTTTTCTTTAATAACATTTTATTGAGCCATTTCTCCCACAGTCCATTGCAAAGGATCAAAACCGCATATTCATAAATCATACATTTTATAAAGTGCAACATCTCAGGAAATGACTCCAAAACAGAACTAGCAATTGCAAGGTGAATGAGAACACATGCTCGTAATGAAATGTTGGTTTGAAGATTTTGACATTTAGAAAAAAAATTATTGAAAATGTAATAAAGAGAAGTGCTCTTTAAAAAAAAATATCAAAAACGTGGATACATCTCTCTTTTTGTCACTTCTTTTAGGTTCCAGACGAAAAATGATGCCTATCTCACAAATGTATTTGAATGGTGCAGGAAACGTGTCTTAGATCTCATTTATATTCTCACTTTTGGTCTGTAATTATTTTATATTGTTGGAAGGACACTGCAAATCAAGCCAACACTGAAAATTCAGGCAGGGGGATGGTGTCATGTACCTGCAGTTGTTGTTGTTGGTAGGCCTAGCAGTTGGTGATGGAAGGGTTAATGTAAGTCTTAGTTCTAAAGGGTTGAGTAATCTGTAAGTAAGAGTTCATGGGTGAAAGCAATTAAGGGTGGAGGTATGCAAGAGATATGTTTCTGGATATAAGGAGCTGGCCTTGGGACTGATCTTGGGAAGAAAAGTATTCTGTCACGATGCCAGAGTTCTGCCTTATTCAGGTAGAGATGAACCAAACAATCTCCCAGTTTGTGTTTAAACAATTTAATTAAAGCAGCACTTACTGTCTTGCTGTTTTAATAGTCCAAAACATAAAGATACCACTCAGCCACAGAATTTAAAACAAAAACTGACAGCAAACACTGTTGCAGATTAAAGATAACACCATAGTTAAAAGGTCCAGTCCAGTGGTCAAATGCCAAGAGTTCAATAAGCGAAGTCCAGGGATCAAGAGTCTATACCGTAGTCAAAAGCCAGTCCAAAGATTCAAGGTTCTGTGGTTCCAAGAGTACAGGAGACAGACCAGAATACCGAAAATCCACAAACGTGGAGGAAAACCAGCAGCATCCACCACCATCAACTGCAGAACATGATACATGAGAGATGGACTGGATGGCCCTTATGGTCTCTTCCAACTTTATGTTTCTATGATCTTCACAAGTGACTGTTTACAATCCCTGGAGCCATTTTCAGGTCTGTACCATCAACTTATCCTCTGAGGGCTAATAATGCAAGTGCTTGTTGACAATACTAAAATTTGTATAATTACCTTTTTTATACCACAGTTCCAAGAACAGTATCAAAACTCTGGTTGATATGCATGTCTATCTAGTGTACAATATAGTACAGGCATGGGCAAACTTTGGCCATTCGGGTGTTTTGGACTTCAGCTCCCACAATTCCTAACAGCTGGCTGGGATTTCTGGGAGTTGAAGTCCAAAACACCCTCTAGGTGTTTTGGACTCCAACTCCCACAATTCCTAACACCCTATTGGCTGTTAGGAATTGTGGGAGTTGAAGTCCAAAACACCTGGAGGGCCAAGTTTGCCCACTTCAGGTCTATAGTCTGAAGAAGAAAGTTTATAGCTCAGAGATATAATGTATTATCTGCATGCTAATGCCCCCCAGATTTAGTCTCCAACAGCAGCAGAGGTCTGAGGATCATACACACCTCAAATTGGGAAAGCTATATACTCCCCCCCACACACACTTTTTAAAATGTTAAAAATGTTATCTGTAACACAACTTATGTGCAGATATCAACAAAGACATGTGAACTTGCTTTTATTAAAAAAAACATTAAAAGCACATTGAGGGGGGTGGAGTCACTACTAATGGGAAGTACTGTTGTGGGACCACAGATCAGTTGCATGGTGAATGAAGAGGAGTGATAGCAAAAGT